TTCTATGCTTTGTCAGCCTTACTATATACTTCCACGGAACTTACACTAAAATTAGCTTTTAATAAAACAGTATGTCACTGGTGTAGACACTTTCAATTTCTTATAAGCTCAAAAAAAATCTCTGTTGATTCAAGAAAAACCCTGTATCCAATATGGCGGATATCGTACTTCCGATGACACTAAGATTTAGACTCGCATCAGCAACTAACTCTCATTGGTCAATTTGTGGAAGATTTGTGGAAGATTTGTGGTGAGCTGACGTCAGTGATTGGATAAAATTATACTGAAGAATGTCTTTCACTGAGCGCAAACCAAATATACCGAAATCAAATAAATCCCGCGTAAAAGTCAATATAAAACAATGGTGTTCATTGGTTCATTTAGAACCAATCGTGTGTTGCCAAACAGAAGACTGACGGAGTGATCGCCAACATGGAAGTTGGAGTTGCAAGAATCAGTCTAAGTCAGAAGAAACTGATGACGAGTTGGTTAATATGTTCGTGTATCTGTTATCTGGCGTCAGGAAGAATACACAAATTAAGCCTAAAGGTAACTGAAAAAATAAAACGAGTTCACCTACATATATGTAAACATTATCGCTAACCATCTAATGGTATTTTCTATTTCTACTACCACAGGCACCTGAATTTTTATCAATAAGTCGCTAATTAAGCCAAATATCGGAAAATTCTACCCCCTCTATATGTAAATAGAATTTTTCGATATTTGGATTAATTAGCGACTTATTGATAAAAATTCAGGTGCCTGTGCTACTACACAGTAACTGTGTCTTGGGACAAGACCCAATTACACTTAGAATATGTTCCATATATCTTCATGTTGCAGAAGGGGGTGGGGCCGCTCTGACACGATTTTGAATAATATAAACAAAGTCAGAGTTGCACTGTAAATTATAATCCCAGCGAGATTGGGATTGTCTCTTCCAAATCTTTCTCAGACCAGTGCCACACAAAGGTTGGGAAATCTTCCATGTACGTTGACTGCTTGTTACATAGATGACATTGGATGAGATGATTTCATTAATATCCAGAGTTTAATTACTTCTGTCTTGATGATTGACTTTATTTCTGGTAATTACTTCATTAAGTAATAGAGCTGAAACGGATGTTCGAACATTCGCGAATGAATAGTTTTTCACGAATATTCGAATGGAGAATTTGTATTTAAATATTCGATCACATGTTTTATACCCGTATTTCTTGCAATAAATTGTGTATCCACTGAGTTTTTGATCACAGTGGAAAAAGAAGCATTTCTTTCCAAACAAAAGCAAATACATGTACAAGGCAGGTTGTAAACTTTGTCCACATGGTACCACTGGCCTGATAAAGGCACGAGATCAAATTTATTTAATCATCTGTAAGCCAAACATATATCAGCCTCATGAATCTCTGATCTAGGCCTATGACGATGACCGCCATGACTTTCACGATCGAAAGTAATGAAAGATTTATATTGTGCAGAGAAAATATTCCGGATTAACAAATAGTATCGATTGTACAGCTTTATAAATAAAAGCAGATTCTGAAATCATTTGTGAAAAATGTACATTATATTAAACTTCTTTAAGAATATTATATTTGGGTGCTAGTCACTGCGCCTCAAAACCTGAACGCCCCATGCATGAACGCCCCAAAATATTTTACCTTCGCCCAAGTACAAATATGAGCACCCCAAATCTTAATCACGAGCGCCCCAAACGTATTTCACCAGTAGTGCTGTGCGATATTACCGGTTAACCGGTGTATCCCAATTTCGTTCTTCACAATACGTATTGTAAGCTTCCTCAGCACCCTGTCAAATGCCAATCAGCTTACAATGTTTCCATCCCGTGTAAATTCAATAAATTATAAAATTACATTTTTATCAGGACTACTCATGACATCCGTCCACATATAAAAAAAGGGGGGGGGGCATCCTCAGCCCGTCACATGTATTTAAACACCCTTGATAATTTACTTCACATCCTTGTAAATCATAACCAAGTTCCATTTTTTCGTTTCAAATATTTCATTTAATAAAGACTTCAAAGTTCAATGAAATATAACAAAACAGTCAGTACATCTATGAGTATATAAAGTCCTAGCTTAACATCTCTGGCCTAATAAAACACAGTGGATTGCGGTGTCCGTGCGGTGCAGAAATTATACACTACTTAATTTGTATTAGTTTACATTATTTTCTTTTACCTAAGTCACTAGTAATTTACAGTCAGTGAAGTTGATGACGTAATATGATCTGATCGTTACGATCGTCGTGATGAAACTGGCGTTCGCTGCTCATATATATAACCTTCCATAAATGGTCACGTGATCACAACAACCAATGAATAATTGTCCTTTCTGGAGCAACTCGGAACTACTTTACATACATTTTGTGTAATACAAAGAAAATAACGTCGCTCAAAATGTCCTTTCTACATGTAAAGTGGGAGCTATAAATTCTATTCGATATACATTAGAAAACAAGTTCAACAAACAATCTGTAATAAAACGGACACACACAATCCATGGCGTAGTAATACCGAACAATAATGCAAACACATAAGTATTACGCTACACATTCAAGTTCCAAAACATTTCGTCAAATACAGCATAATTAAATGACAATACTGCAATAAAATAACATTTAAGTATCAATTATGAATATTTGAGGACACGGACAGTGTTATTTCGATCTTATCAATTGTAAAACAACAATGTTTATGTCACATGACTAATTTCTTCGTAAGAAAGATGGCAGGCGCCCAATTTACAACACATGTGATAATGCTGAAATAAGTAAGTAAATTACAGTCGTAATATGGTAGATAATGATGAAAAACTGACATACAACATCTTAGTATCACTGTCCCTTACTGTCTGTTCAACAATATCTCGCTAGATCGTCTAGTAACACAAAAACAGCATTTGTTTACATTACAATGTCGAAGTGCAATGTGTATTGCATCAATAATTCAAGTAAACAATAAGATAATGAAATAACATCAAAAATAAAACATTTCTTATAGATTTACAACTGGATGCTACTTTACTTCACTTACAAACACTCCACCATCAGCCTGTGATTAATTAATATGCAATATTCTAAAGTCCAACCCCCATGCATATTACACTTCCCCCCACTTAAAAAGTCAAATTCTCCTGAATTTACAGTCTTAATCAAAATCGTCTGGTTCTGCTAGCTTCTTGCTTCCATCATCAATGAAATCTTCATCTTTCTTGCACTCGACCGCTTTTTTCGGTAATTCTCACACATCTGGCTGCTCGTCTGATGCCATTTCAGCTACTTCTGTCTCCATCTCGTCTCTCTGCTACTTCTTTCTCCATCTCTTCGTCTCGTCTCTTTGCTACTTCTTTCTCCATCTCCTCCACTTGTGGTCTCATGTTGCTGTACAGATAAACAGTTATGTTTAAAATCCACCATCCACCCCAAGTATACAGTATACAGCTCCCTATGCATAAGCTAGTACAAGATTGGAAATTCTTGTTAGAATTGGATGTAGTTGATAAAGGTAGGTTCCTATGGGAATCAGTCAGTCAATCAGTCGGGTCTTATTCTTCATTGTTTTTGTAGATTCCTCCCAGGATCAGGAAGTGACATCAATTATCCATTTATAATTTTATTCCAGTAGTAGATTGAAATCAACAAAAGTATCAGTCCGGCCCAGCCCTAGACAACTGAGGTCCACCTGCAGTCCGGCCCAGCCCTAGACAACTGAGGTCCTAATGTGCACTAATAGTAATGGCCAGTCACTATCTACACATTCACCTAGTGTGGTGCACCACCTAGGACAACATCCACCATAGACATGTGTCAATAAAATAAAACAAAAAAAATCTGGTATCATCAAACTACTGTCCGACATCATTTAGTTTTGTGGTATGAACTTCCTGAACCAGGGTTGCAAGTTGATGCCTCGATATATCATCAACCTATCCTATAAATTAAGTCAAGTCATCTAGTTGTCCTGTTACAAGGTCCTTTTCATTTTGAAGTTAATACAGCAAACCCATCCTTTGGCAATTTATCTTTGTGATGTAGTTAAGAAGAAAGTCCTTTCCAAGGATCCTATCTTGTGAAATTTTGCAAATTACAAATTCGTGTGGCAATGCTTCTTTCCCAAAAGATACATCCAGTACAATGGTCCTGATGTTCTCTATTAAATTCCCATTTACATCCTGAATGTCAGAGGTTGCAGGCCGTATGTTAGAGCTAGTTTCCTTTGAGAGTTTAGTAACATTTTGAACGAAATAATCCATGCAGTAGATCAACTATCCTAGAAAATATATTGTTTTGTCAAATATGTTTCCTTTGTATGAAATCCATTGTCCCATAAGAGGGTTATATCCCCTGTGTGGCCATTCCTAGTATGTTCATTTCCAACAGAAAGACATTCCTCTTGTGCCGACTCCTGCCTTAATGATATCTGTTGTTATCTCTCATGTTTCCACTGCCATGTCTTTTATTCAGGTTAGAGGTCGTGGTCATCTGTTGTCCTCTTGTCCATCGGTCTGGGCAGTCCTTCATGAGATGATCTGGTGAATTGCAGATGAAGCAAGTCCAAGAGTTATTGCCCTTCCGTGGTTCCATTTTCTGTGCACTTTCCAGTTTCTCTAATCTATCGATTAGTAACTTGATTGTATGTTCCAAGTTGTTCGATTTTTGCTTTCCAGTTGGCTGTTTGACTACTTGTTCTTGATCCACATGTCTAACATTTATTTTCTTCTTATCCCCATCCCCCATTATTGACTCGTATCTCTCAATAACGTCTACAGCTTCTGCAACAGTGCTACACTCTTTGTCAATACAACGGCATTTCATTTCAACGGGAATAATTTTGTAAAGGTGGTTCAGAGCCAGCGATTCCTGAGCGTCAATATCCAAGTTACTATAAGCTTTTTGTGATAATTGCCGTATATCGTCTCCAACATCTGCAATACTTTCTCCAGGCATCCTCCTACGCATTTCCAGTTTTGAAAGCCACCTATTTTTGTGTTTTGAGCTACCAAATCTCTGGTCCATACGCTGAACAAGACTTTTAAATGTGCGTCTTTCCTCAAGTGTTAGGCTCATGTAGAAAGTCCTGGCTTGTCCACGTAAGCTAGCGGCTAAGAAAAGAAGTTTAGTCCTGTCGTCCCAGTGGCTAAGTTCAGCGCAGTCTTGAAAGTGAGAAAAGTATTCCTCCCAACTTTCTTTTCCATCGTAGGGTTCGGGTTTGATCATAAGTGTAGAAATGCGATTGTGATCACTTTGTGCGTCGTCAGCTAACTGATAATCAGATCGCCGACGGAAATTATGTCCTCCTTCGTCGTCATTGTCATCACTGTCATCTCTTTCCAAAGGATTTTCATTTGCCATTAAATATTCGTCATCAGTGTTCCTCCCACAGACATCTGTTTCGTCCCGTTGGCCTAACTGAACATTTTCCTTATGTTCATTTATAAATACTTCAGGATCCGGCGAAGTAGCATCCTCCATTTTTAACTATAAAAACAGTAACAAGAACATATGTACATCGTTATTTT